ACATATTAGTGATTTTAAAATAGATCGTAAGTTTTAGGCACAAGGTAGGGTTCCAAACCATATGTCACATTTCTTATACTATGCTCAGTTTAAGGTGAAATCGAACAACTGGTACAAGTTTCGTCCGCACCACGTCGGCGTATAAAATATGGGAACGGGGTAAAAATTCTTCGTTTATTTGAGTAGATCATTCAATTTTAGATATGTGCACGCTCAAGTTACGCGCAAAGTGAATCAAACAGTTAAGAGTGGAATTCTGGGTTGCCTATTCCATATACGAGTCCCATAAGACAATGATCGATATTCAAAATTTCAGTGGAAGGCCTATTATTATTGAAATTAATTACTGAAGTATGGGTATGACGATATTAATGATGTAGGATAGAGCCAACGGATCTGATGCAGGTTAGCATTCTGATAATGAATGAGTTTTTCCTGCTGACCCTTATAACCGCAAACGTTAAACGTAACGCCATACGAATTATGCACTTTCTCATTGGTTTTTTTTATAATTTCATATTTACTGATTAAAAATAGGAAAACGCATATGCGTATTGATAAGATCTTCGTAAACAAGAAGGTATCCTTCAAGTTGTAGCTGATATGATCATTTCTTTGATTATGAGAAACGAATTTTTCGAATTTTTAAATCTGGGCTGTAGTATCAGCAAATCCTAGGGTACTCGAGTTACATCAAATAAACGTTTACTGCAAAAAAGTCCCAGAATTATTGGCAAAGAAACTGTGCACTACATAACAGGCTTTCGTTTTAACTGTTAAGCACATAATTTTTTGAACAGTTTAAAAGCCAACTGTTGCAAAAACCGAAGGATGCGGCACTTTACCTTTATTTATATTCCGCCACCTGTAAAGATCATACGCAGAAAAAAAATATCTGCACAAATGCTATAAAATATTTAAATCTAATCTCAATACTGTCGTTTGTTTACATTTATTTTACGAAAAAAGTGTGCACAACAGGTGTTGATTCACTTGAAAAACTACCCGCATTCGAAACGGTGGCAAAGGCGGAACTAGTCATCTGAAGCCGCTTAAACCAAATTACGTGACCTCATCTGCATACGAGCCCTGATTAGTTTCGCGTGTGTCCCTTGGGACGTGTGGCCACAATAGCTAAAATAAGGAGTTGATTTGCAATAGAAGGCAATGATTACCCAGCTGAATCCATCATAAACTCCCAGATGTGCCACTGAAAACCATATCCAAATGAAAGTTTTTTCACCAAAGTTTACTTCGGTTTTTGAGATCTGATAAGTGTTAAATAACTTTAGAAGGCACGCATTTTGAATGCTGTAACAAGTTCCAAGCATACTTATATGCGCAGGAGTACACGCCATTTGGAACAATGTGTTCTGCGTTTTTTAGCGTAAGCATCCACTCCCGGGTTTATTTAGTGGCACAGAATATTCCTGCCTCGAAAAGGTGCTTGTTCCGAGTCACTGAAAGAGCGAACTGGCTTAAAAGTACAACGTCCTCATGACCAAAAACATAAATGTGGATGTAATGGGTGGGCGGGTTTTGTAACATATATCATACGCATTCTGATGATACGAATCTGATGAGTTGACTTTTGAACAT